GAATAAGCCGTCATTAACCTCATTCAATTCCTGCGATGGTCGAATTAAATTGGTGTAAAAAAACCTCTTGCTTGACTTCGACACGATCATCGACATCCATGAACAAACAGCGGTCTAGTGTACCACCAGCTCTGAACATATGCCTCTCCCGATCCAGGTCATATGCCACACTCCCTGAGATGTATCTTGATTTTTGTATGTGACTCTTATCCGTATATAGTATCCGGAGGCAGTTGGGACCTTTAACCTCCCACTTCAGTGATAAAACGCATGAAATCGATAATTAACGTATTTGGTTTTGGGTTTAACTACATTAATTGGTACGTTAAATAATAAAACCTCTACTCTTCGATTTGGCCAGTTGGAAGTTTTTAGATGACGTCCACCATACCAAAAGTAAAAAAAGAGAAAATCGATTTTGATTGGCCCATGCTATTTCTGAAAACTACTTGGAATTTCCCCTAATGGAGGAGATATTGCGATGGAACGAGTTCCATTCCGCATCCATAGCGGCGCCCCAACATATGGTGACAAAAGCAGAGTCTACCTCTCAGACATAGTTATGGAAACTGTCAAAAATAATGCTCAATCCCCATAATTGACCAATTGTATGGAATCAATTCCATTCTGTACATTTCCAAACGACTCGTGGTCCCAACTTCAACGCCGACCATGGCCACACCAGTGAAGCGACGCAACTATCTATAAATATCAATTATAAGTAATTAAAAATGATTTTGGCAACCCAATATATTACTACATCACGTTACTAGTATGTCGAATTACCTTTGAATATTTTTTGCTACAAGTCTCAAATTGAAGTAGAGTAGGTTTCCCCATATCTCATACAACAAGTTAATGGTGTGGAGGAAGACATCACAAATAGACGAGCGGGATCGTCCAAATGTTTTGGACATCCCGTGCAACCTTGTTGGAAATGCCATCCGACCGAGGACAATGCACATTGCTTCGTCGCGTAAAGCACGGCTCCAGTTTTCGGTTACCACCACCGCTGGTAGGCCGAGGTAGTAGCCGAGTTTGCGGATGCCCACGACGTCAAAGCGGTAGTCGAGCACTGCGTTAGCATCCGTCATGGCGTCCAGGTTGAAACGAACTTCGGGGATCAGTGGCCGTTCGACGTGTTGTGTAGCCAGCAGGGCAAGGACGAATTGGCGTTGACGCACGGTCTTAGCCATCGACAGAAGCATGACGCCGTCTGTCTGCGTGATTGGCATGAGTCGTCGTCCTTCGGTGGCGATGGTGAAATCACAGTGTATCCGGAATAACTTACCGGATGAATATATGGATGGTGACTGGAATTGTGCTAAATCAAATATTTTATATTCCAGACCGTATCCATAACGCGGTTGTTGTCAAAAATGTACGGAATGGATGCAGTCTGGACAAGTTGCTAAACCTCTCTATTGTCAAATCCGTTCCAATTTGGATTTGGACTTGCAAGCAGAAACCGGTTATATAGTAGTTACCAGTATTTTAGAATGTCATAGCCAATCAAAATGCACTAAGGCATAATTTCAACCAATCATCGATCGATCAGTATAGTTTGGTCATGTCAAAATGTTCTTCGTTTACTGCTAATTTGAGTACGACACATACATAGTTGTGCAACGTTCATATTAAACGTATCATACTCATCTCTGCAAGGAAATGCGCCATCGCTCGCATTCGGCAGCGGCGACAGAGGGCGGCAGCGTCAAGTTCCTTCTGCGTAAGAGCACCCTTCAAGCATTCTTGGCAGTATGCTTGGTAGGTGTCGTGCTCGTGTACTTCGAAATGTTCAAACTATCGTCCGTCATGTCCCAAGTGGGCAATGCCAACTTCTTGGACAACCTCCGCCGGCACGAACGTAATGAGACCCCAAAGCCCACCTTCGATGAATCTGCATCTCCATCGATCGCGGTTATGCTGACGCACTACCGCGACACGGACGAATGCGTATCGACGTTGCAATCCCTTTATTCCACTGCCCAATACCCGGCCTCGCTCCACATTTACATTTTCGAAGAAGTCGTGCTTGGCTCAGACACCGACTCGACATGCGTTCAACTGTTCTGCCAAACACATTCTTCTCTTTGCGATGCACATGGCGCAACTCGAATCCACCACAAGCGACGCCATGCCGCCGACTACAATGGTCCTGGTCCAGCACGTGCAGTGGTCGAGTCCATGGTTGTTCCTTCCCGCCACGTGTACTACCTGTCCATCACCACGCGCCTAGAGTTCACACCTCATTGGGACGTCGCTCTCCTTGCGCAATGGACTGCTATCGGCAACCCCAAGGCCATCCTCAGCTTTGCGCCGCCAGCCGTCCGCGCCAAGTCGTGGTCAGTGGACCCATCCCAACATGCGATCCTGTGCACCGGTCGCATCACGTCTGAGCGGTCGAACATCGCGGTGGTGGCGTTCAACCCCCCCGTGTTGATCCCCGAGCCCCGAGACCCCGACACCCCACGTTTGGTCGCGCAATATTCTGAGGATTTCCACTTTGGCTCGATAGCCGCCCTGACCGCCGCACCATCCGACGCCAACGTTGAGTTTGTCTGGGAAGGTCTTGCTTACTACCGCGCCGTGCGGTGGTGGACCCGCGGCTACGACTTCTACTCGCCCTCAACTGACGTGGTGTGGGAAAGCTACACGCGTCGCGTGCAGCACCCCCTGCATCCATCCTCGACCCATGCGACAAAGGATCCTGCTATGGCGAAGCTCCTAATTCGACAGAAGAACAGCTACTTTCGCATCCGACGTGTGCTTGGATTCAACATGGGCGAGCCCCCTAGCCCCGACGACGACAAGTACACTGTCGGCAGTGTCCGGACGATGGGCCAGTGGGTAACGTTTAGCGGTCTCGACCACACGGCCGAGAAGGACGACGCCACCGACAAGCAGTTTCAAAATTGCCACGCGTTAACGAGAGTGGTTCGCTGACTTGTTTGTTTAAGTTCGTGGGTGGTTTCGGTCGAGTTGTTTCTGCAGCATGCCGAGCTTGGCGTCGGACCAGGGCATGCCATCTTCGCTGGCAGGTTGCGGCAGTTTCGGGATGTCGAACGTCGTTCGTTTTGCCGAAGGGGGGGACTTTGCCCCGCCCCCCTGGTTAGCCGCCGGTGAGGTGGACGAGCTGTCTCGGTTGTTCGACGAGACTTTCGAGTCGGAGGCGGAGCCCCCCAAAGTGACCATTTTTTTCCTAACGTTAGCTCGTCACCTTGCATTGTAAAATGCTTTCAACAGTACAGAGGTTTGAGGACAGACGACGTGACTTGGTCCGTGGGCAGTTGGCCCGTGTCCATAGCTAGCTGCCACTTGCACCGCAGTGTGTTGAGCTCATGTTGAAGCCGTCTGGTCTACCTCGACAACATCTTTCAAACGACGAAACAAAGACGCCACGACGTACGTCTTTCTGAGACGTCGTGCGGGTCCAGTCCAATTTGTTGCGGAGTTCAATGTACTTTTCGTCCATCAGGCGGAGCTGGTCTTCGAGGATCTTGCTGCCTTGCTGCAGCTCCGAGATCACTCGATCCTTGGCGTTGGTCTTCTTGGTCAGCGTGGCCGACGCGTCGGCCAAGTCGCGGCGATCGGCTTCCACGGCCTTGAGCGCCTCCAGCGCTTTCGCTTTCGCCGCGGCCTCGTGCTTGAGATGCACCATAAGCTTTTCAATATGCTCCGACAGCGCGACAATCTTCTCGTTTGCTTCCACGAGCGCGGCGTCCGTCCGCGCGCGCAGCTCCTTCTCGGTGCGCTGGCGTCCGGCCAATTCCGCCGTCTTCTCCTTAAGCGCCTTCACGTCGTCCATCGCCGCCACCGCCGTCGACAACTCGCTCTCCAGATCCACGGTGCGGTCGCTCAAGCGTTTGTTTCGACTGCGCAACAGCCGCATTTCGCGCTACGATGTAGTAGCCACATGCCATAACAGTGTAAACGATATTTCAACCGAGTGAATATCATTGTACCTCCAATTTCCCCAGACTGCCCATGCCAAGCCCCAAGTCGGACTGAAGTTCTGCCTCCGAGCCACCGCCACTGCCGCCGCCGTTGCCGTCCAGCACCGCTTCCATGTCCACTTCGGCCTTGAGACGAAGTCGAACCAGCTCTTCCAGGCGCACGTGCTGATACAAGCTCACATCGACTTCCGGTCCGGAAATGCCCCGAAGGAGCAGCGCCCTTGCATCCCCGACGTCCTTCTTGGCTACTTGGAGCGCCCCCTTGACTTTGTTGTGTGTCTCCGTGAGGGTGAGCAGCGTCTCTCCTTGCGCCACCAGCGCCGTCGACGTCCTAAATACTTCCTCTTGCAGTTCTTTGATGGCGGCACTCGCAGCGTCGCGGTCGGTCGTGTGGTGCACGGCCCCCAACTCCTTCTCGAGGCTCCCCGCGTGGGCCTTCGAGGCTGCGAGCTCGCTCTGCACGCGGTCTAACGTTGCTTCTACCTCCAGGAGCTGCGACTGATGCTCCAACTTGTGCGCTTTCATGCGTTCGTCGCGGTCGGCCAATTCCGCGCGTAAATTCGCGGTCGAGTCGTCCACCGCCGATTGGTTCTGCGTCCACTGGACTTCGAGTTCGTTGGCGCGGGTGACGGCCGCGGTCAGCTCGGCTTGGTACGTGGTCTCGGCAATGGCCGCTCGGTCTACTTGGTCTTGCAGTTTCTGGATCATCGCGGCTTGGCTGTGGTTGTGCCCCTCGAGCTCCTGGTACATGGCGTACGTTTCCCGCAGTTGGACGTCCAGCGCGTTGTACGCGTCCAGCATTTGCTGCTCGTTGGCACGGGCCGCGGAGATGGCGATCTCGAGCTCGTCCTTGTCTTGCTGCAGCGTCGTGGTGACCTGAAGCAACTCGTCGGCTTTGGCTCGAGCTTCGCTGGCTTCCGTCATGTGTTGCGTACGCAGGCGTTTTTCCATTTCGATCGCCGTTTGCATCTGCGCCTTGTCGGCCGCATTCCGCTTCGTCAGCCCCTCCACTTGACCCCTGAGCTCATCGACCTGCGCTTCCAGCTCCTTCTGTCGACTCGGGGGTGCCATTAAGGTCACACTGGTGTGTCCGGCGCAAGAAAGTGTTGTGAAACAACCACCTGATAAATATAGATTAGTACTTGGACGTTTACGTTAACTAAGTACCCCCCTTCGAATCATTTTCCCACGGGCTTCATCAATCGACGGTGACACGCACATAAGTTGAGGGCGCGTTGCGGATATGGCTCAGCCCCGGAAGTAAAACCCTTGCCTTGTTGGTGGGATCGAACTCGGGACCAATAGTTAACGGACGACGCCTGCTTCAGCAATGGCAGGGGAGTACGTACTTGCTTTGTGTCCAAGAAGTTGACGACTACTAACGTTTCACTAAGCAATATCCACGAGTGTACAGTAAGCCACCCACATGCGATCGTCCCTTGCTTCTGGTTGCACATAGCGTCGTTGCTGTCATGTTGGTACTGTACACTGTACCGTACAGTGAGTACTGTACTCCTGATTCAAAATTGCGCGCACTTTTTGGAAACCTCGTATAATCCATGTATTCGTTGTCACGGGATTTGGCTCTTGCTGCCTGCCATGACGAGCAGAAGAGGCGGCGACGTTGGTCGTGCGAACAACCGGTCCGGTCCTTTGCGCCACCGGTTGACATCAGGCAGAACTGATGCACAGTTCGAACCTCATCGTCGTCTGCCGGATGAGAAGGTCAATGGGATGATGGATGGCAGGCGCAAGGCGGGAAAGGCAACGGCCTTGGGGTCAACAGGTCCATTCAGCGGCCATTCAGCGCACCCTCCACAGCCAGTCGACAGGAATCCCACCAAGAACTCTGTGGCTCTCACTTTCAACGGGGCGATCGAGCAGATGAAACCAGCTGTATCCACCTGTTTCGCAGAACCTGCTGCCAAGAAAACGGACACAAGTCGTCGCGGTCAAACTAGTCGGAACGAACGGTACGTGCACCAACCTGGTAGGAGCAACACACCCGTCGAAATGCCCATGGAGACACGGAAGACCACGACGTCATCTCGCACACGACGAGAGGCCCGAGACATGTCCAACTCACGACAGGACTCGACAGCGTCGCCGCGCATCGTTCAACATCGACCCCAACATCCGAATCCAACGAGCGCACAATCTGCACCTGGCGATACAGGCTTGTCCAGGGACAAACAGTCCAAGCCAGCCAACGCCGCCGCCGCGTCGACACGAAATTCCAACCGTCACACGATGTCCACCAGTGGAGCAGACGAAGGGGTTTCTACAGGTCATGCAGACCACCCGTCTATCACTGACGATGCCCCCCTCAAGCAAAAGAAGGCCAGCGTCGTGAAACCCAAAGACAGAGTGATGGCGTTGAGCGTGGCGCTAGCAGTCGCAAAGTCCATTCCGTCCGTTGGTCGTCCCAACGACATCCCCAAGAAGAAGCAACCGGTGGCTGATATCCAGACTGAACTGGACAAGAAGGTCGCGATCAACGTCGCACTGGTGTTTACCCAAACCCGCCCCGTGTCCAATGGCCACCAAGTCCACGGCGGTCCGTCTGTAGGCGATCCACCGTCCACCTCGCAAGAAGCAGTCACCTCCCCCCCTTCCCCCGTCGTCGCCGACCTTCCTGAGCTTGCAACCCCCCTCCAAGCGGACAAAGCTGCCGACGACGGGCCCTCCACTCGACGAAAAAGCATGGTCACTCGCAAGCGACCCAGGAACACAGTCGTCCAGACACCACAAGTAGCTGAACAAGACGCCCATGTCCCTCCTCAGAGTGCAGCCAAAGTGCCCAAGAAACGGCGACTGGCCACATACTCTCAAGTGACCAAACCCGCCAACACCCCGTTGAAGACGTCCAACAAGAAACTAGTGGTCGGCAAGCCCCGCAAACAGCACCGCGCCCCGTCGCCAGCCCCCCCACCCGTCGCCAGCCCCCCCGTGACCCCTTGGTCCTCTATCCGGTTCTTTCCCCCCACTGTCGCTGCGTCGACTGTGCGGCCATTGATGCACGCGTTGCCGACGTTTCCACTGCACATGCCGTCGGAAGCCGACCGCCAAGCGCTGCAGACACGCCACGTCGCCCTATTGGACCAGTCGGCAGCGCTGCTCCACAACGCCATCCAAGACTTTTCGACCTTGTCATGGGAAAACGAAGTCGAGGAGCGTACCACGACCGCCTTGTCAACGTTGTGATGTTTCTAGTGATAACGGAGATGGGCCCTGGATGGATAGATGGATATAGATAGTATCACTTTATGTTGTTCGCTTGGACTCTTTTCAAGCAATGCTAGCGCCTCATGGCGTCCGGTGTCTTGCGTGGTGGCTGCTTGACCCCTGTCAAGTTACTCAGTCGCCGTACGAACTGCAGCGTGAGCCATCTGGACGGCCTAGAGTATGACCAGACTTATTGCTGATATATTGTCGATTTGATACAAATTTGGGGAGGGGGTGCAATCCAATCGCGCCGACCAAACCGATCCACAATCGATCTGATTGGTTGTTGAATTTCATTGAGAAGGTTTTGATTGGCTAATAATTTTGAGCTCATCTGAAGTAGCCAATCAAATCGATTTAAATTCCAACGAGAAACCACAACACGAAATTTCACTCGAAAGCACAATATATGAAAATATGAAATAAATAAATATATTTACCCAAAGAGAGGCAACTTGGTGGTTTCACGCTCGGCCGAGGGCTCGCACACAGTGGCCAAGAGCAGAAACTGCCCCAAATGTGTTAGTACGTGGTGCTAGTATTACTAGAAAGCACGTACTACAGGGAAAAGCAGCGCGAAAATGCCCTTGCCGACGAAATTCGGTGTGAAATACGTGGCCAATGTAAACGGGCACCCAAACCCGATAAAATACGCCCTGTCACATATATGTGTGACCGATATACGAGGAATTCCATCATACCAGTGCTTTTCCATGAACGCCAGGCGCTTCTCAATACTCCAACCGTGCAAACTCCACTTGTACTCGAAGCAGTAGAGCGCGTACAGCCAGCTCATGTGCACGAAGCTGACGAATGGACCGACCACGGGCACGAGGTACGTGAGCATGGTCTGGAGAAGGAAGAAGAACACCAGGATCGCCCGATACACTTCGTCGCTACGATGTGTCGATAATGATATACGTAACCATGAAGGATATGGTACATGAGCATGTCCTTGACTGGCGCCGGTCGAGCGGTCCCATGGGTTTGAAGGTAGGCTACAAATACACCACCACATGACCAAGTTGACTACTTGATGTGGGACACAATACCTTCTTCGGCCAGTTCTTGATACCAGATCGTGTTCAAGATGAAGCTCACGCAGTAGATGGGGTACATCCAAAGGCCCTAGAAGGACAACCCATGAGAATATGCGATGACGTAGCATGCAACTGATGGATCTGCGTACTTGGTAGACGAGAAAGATAATGGTGTCGATCGTGTCATGGAAGCTACTGCTGTCCTTCGTCCCTCCTGTTGCTTGTTCATGCTTCTTGAGCGCAAGCCCCAGCAAGTGGATGATAGGGATCACGACATAGTCAAAGAAAAAGATGCTGCCGAGGAAAATGATGCCGTTGACCATCACACATTTCACGGTTCGATTGCGCACGATGTGCGACTGGATGTACAGCAAGAGGATGCGATGGAGCGAGATGGAGTCCTGGATGCCCTGGCAGAACGTCACGTATCCTGCCTGCAGTGCCTCGCCCCAGCTGCTCGTGCCTCCGTCGTCGGCGTCCATGATCTGATAGTTGCGGTGGATACGTAAAAAAATCCGGATAAATGTGTCCGCATAATATTTCCAGACAGGCGCATTTTGTGCCTGTTCACGAAACGTTGGCGGCATGAGCGGGCCGTTTGGAGAAGCGTACACGGTGTCAAGGATGCTGGACAGCATCAACGAGACCATGGGCGATGGCGCCAAGGTGGAATTGAAGCGGAATGTTGGCAACGGGGTCGCTCTAGATACGTCCGTACACCTTCTTACGAGCATGAGGTGAACCGATGGACACGTGTAGGTCTGCAAAGGAAATCGCGTGTCTCGACACCCAAGCGAAGATCAAGACCTCTGTAGAACGAGTGGCCAATATGGATTCGCTGGAGAAGCAAGCGTGGATAGCGCATCAACGGAGCAAGGGAAACGATCTGTTCAAAGCACAAAAGTTCAAAGAAGCTAGCGACGCATACCTTGAAGCGTTGACAGGCCTCGACCTCGGGGGTCCTGGCCATATCGACGTCCAACGAAACGTCCAGCATCCCATCACATGCAACATCGTCGCATGCATGCTGAAATTGGAGGTACGATGTAAGTACGGACATCGGTAACACGTGCATCGTAGCAATGGGACAAGGCCGTGAAGATGGCATCCATTGTCTTGACGGCAGAGCCCACGAACGTCAAGTCTCTTGTTCAGCGAGCGAGGGCATATATGCATTTGGAAGATTTCGACAAGGCCCGGTACTGTCGTTTAGCAAGGATATATTAACAAGGTCTTATGTAGGAAGGACGCCATTGCTGCACAAGACCTGGCGCACGATGTGTCCAAGTTACTGGAGACCATACGTCGCACACAATTGCATGCAAGGCGACAGCAACAAGTGAAAACCTCGTTCGAAAAGAACATGATGAAACACATCGGGTCGATTTACCACGACAAGAAGCCACCTCCCAATCCTTCCAACATGACGCTGTCCAAGCCATCCCCGACGTTGCGTCTGTGGCGCCAAGTTGTCCAAAATGTGTTCAAGTGCCTCGCATGGGCATTGAACCTTTGCTTTGGCAAGCGTAAACTTGCTTAAGTTCATCCAGTTAATATATGTCGTTTAGAATAGACGAAACCGCCAGCCGTTACGTAACGATAGGCAACAGTGGTTGTTGCCTCTTGGTTACCTGTCAGGTACATTGGGATGGCGGCACCTCCCGTCGTTCAGTACACGCATGCGTCCATCGCCGAGCGCCGTATCATGCGGAAGAACGCCATCCCAGAACATGCCTACACTGGGTACGTTGGTTGTATTCATCCTGATAACGACTTTGCCTTTTTTAGGTACGTGCCAAAGGACACACGCGAACAGCCCGACGACCCCAAGCCGGTGGTTGGAAAGATCAAGCATGCCATTGTGGGCTACCGAGGTAGGTCCCTGATAGCTAGCTACGAACGGAATACAGATGTCCTGTTGGTAGGTCATCGTCACAACAAGGAAGCCATGATCGGCACCACCTTCACCCGTGGGTTAGAAATTGTACCACAACCCGTTCGCCTTCGAAAACCCTACGCCATGCCACAGGCAAACAAACAGTTGCCCATATCGGCGTCAGGGTACGGAGGGTTCGACAAGCTGTCTGGATATGGCCAGTTCCTTTCGAGGAGCCAAGCAGGCAGACAAGTGGCTGACGCATCAGGTTATGGGGAAATGGACAACGAGACCCAGTACGGGCAGTTTGCAGCGCCCCCAAGGCCACACGATGACGTGCGGTCAACCTATGGGGAATTTGCACAAGCCAGCAAGTACGGACAGTTTGCTCCACCTCCATCTGCGTCAGGATACGGCAAATTTGAGAAAATGAGTGGCTACGGGCAGTTTGCTCCACCTGCAGCAGAGTCAGGATACGGCAAATTTGAGAAAATGAGTGGCTACGGGCAGTTTGCCCCACCTCCAGCTGCGTCTGAGTACGGCAAATTCGAGAAAATGAGTGGCTATGGACAGTTTGCTCCACCTCCATCTGCGTCTGAGTACGGCAAATTTGAGAAAATGAGTGGCTACGGGCAGTTTGCCCCACCTCCAGCTGCGTCTGAGTACGGCAAATTCGAGAAAATGAGTGGCTATGGACAGTTTGCTCCACCTCCATCTGCGTCTGAGTACGGCAAATTTGAGAAAATGAGTGGCCACGGGCAGTTTGCCCCACCTCCAGCTGCGTCTGAGTACGGCAAA